TAAGTGGAACCGCAATATCAAGTACGATTCCTGTACGTTTGTGTTTGTCTATAAGGACTATATCATGGTGATTATGCTCTATGTGCCTGTCAGTAGTTATTGAGCGACCCCAATACATCAACAAGTTCTGACCTTCTAGTATTATTATTGTGTTATTATTATTAATATTATTATTTCGATATCCTAGAGGTAAAGGAGCGGTCAAACCTGCCAGTTCTGGATGTACGAGTTTCCGCTGTATTGATCTAACACCTTAATATTAGGTTATGTTCCATCGTCACACAATTACCAGTTATCCGGATGCTATATAAACGCACCACCTTCCGTTCAACGGTAACATGAAAAAGGTGTGCGCTCAATCAAGCCGCGTCGATGAAAATAATGACCTGGACGAGATCGTAAGTACGTATAGACATGGCTCTCTCCTCTCTCCATTCTCGACAAAAAACGAAGATTAAGAAGAAGTGTAATAATAAGCAGGCCGAGCAGCTGCTACCAAATTCCGGGCTCTTGTCCTAAAGACCATCGGCACTGCGGCTCTACCTATCTCGGAAATCTCACCGATGAAGGTATATATTTTTTATCCAGAAAATCAAGGCGTCCTTTTCTTGGCAGGTAACAAGAGCTTGTAGTCCGGGTGGTTAGTATGAGAAATAAAGCGAAAAGAGTCTGCGTGAGAGCCCCCCTCATCGGGACGCCATGGTGACATCGGCAGCATCTGCGGCCAAAGTAACCAACATGGCAGCACTCTGTCACGGCGACTACTGGCAAAGAAGGTCAAAATTTCGGATATCGTATATTTTATAGGTTAGTTTCGTTGCGGATTCTAACGATGTCACAAAATCGTTTAAAAGCCTTAAAAAATGGTCAAAACTACAAAGATTCGCTAAATTTCACCAAAAAACTTCAGTCATTTATTCTTAGGGTCGTTGAGGAGTAGAAAATCCATTTATCAAAAATCAAACCGGAATATCCAACATAACGGATATGTTTGAAAAAAATGGCGTCAAGTAGACTGACTATATACTTCTCAAGGCTTCGAAATCACTTACAGTAAGATGTTCCATGTAGCGCAGTGGCATCAGAAAGACATAGGCCTTGCCAGAACCGTTATTGTAATACAATGTTCGAGCTTTTCATCAAAAAGCATTTCCTCGGATTGAAGCAAAGACCGTGTCCATACACGATAGCCTCATTTCTTTGGAGTTCTAGTGTAAAACTCTTTGTCAACGATGTTTGATAACTGATTATAATAAGTCTTGATGTACTATGTTGATGATGTACTATGATGATGATGTACTATATGCTATACTATATTGTATTACCTCAAGATAGCAAGTAATCTCATTAAGATACTCGCCGCATCGGTACTCTTCCACCAGCTTTTGTCCCGCGACCGATAAGTACGCAATTTGTCGCTGAAAAAAGCTTGTAGTGCAAATCTACTGCGAAATCTATGATGTGTGAAATATATCTAATAGGTGCGTAGAATTACTAGGGTTCAAAACATAAAACAATTGCGATACACTTTTCCCCACCCCTTTACAACCACCCAACAAACACTATTTTTTAACACAAATTTTATTTATGCTCTGAAATATCAAAAAATAAAGATTGAGCGGTTTTTATTTTATTTCGTTTTTGGAATATTTTCCGCAACCACTAGACAAATTTCCAAAAACTACAAAGCTTTTTGCGTCCTTGGCATAGTAGGCATTGTGTAAAAATTTCATCGAAATCGAAGCGGTACTTCTCAAGTTATGTGCAGTTATAAAATTAGCGGACACACCGACAGACAACCAGTCGGATCGTCAGAAATAAGTGACATCGTTTTCCGTGACGTACATGACATATGACATCCAAAACCATAATATTTTATTTTCGAAAATTCTCGCCATTACAATACTTCCTCGCCAGTAGGCGTGAGAAGTAAAATGAGAAATTTAAAATATCAAAACGCATCTATATTGGTGTGACTTCACGATATCGGCAAGTGAGCAGCCAATCCTTTGAAGCTGTCATTGATTTTGAACCTGATCATTTTGATCAGTTGTCAAGAGTACTGGTTGACCCGGAATGCGCCACTGAGCTATCTAACTAGGGTATTTCAATAAGGACGCAATATTTCAAGGTTATATTAAACATGGTTTTTCGTATCAGACAACTGAAATATTTATTGGATTATGGTGAAACAACACTTTGGAATTATGTATGAAACAACACATCAGATAAATGGCTGCCACGACTCCGCTGGCACAAGCGCCCTCTTTTAATAAAATTTGTGGTAAGGTTTTGGAACACATGTCGCGGTATCTCGTTGATACAGCGTCCGATTTCAGCTTTCAATTCTTCGGTGGTTGCAGGCTTGTTGGCATAAACTTGTGACTTCATATAACCTCAAAGCCAAAAGTCCAGAGGTGTTAAATCGCAAGAGCGTGGCTACCAATTCTGGTCACCAAACCGGGAGATGACGCCACCAGGAAATCCGTGCAAAACTGCCAATGTTTCATAAGCAGTATTGCATGAGGCACCATCCTGCTGAAACCATATGTCATTAAGCGCCATGACTTCTAATTGTGGCACAAAAAACTGAGTAATCATTGCACGATAACGTTCGTTATCAACTGTTACTGTATTACCCGCCTCGTGCTCAAAGAAAAACGGTCCAACAATTCCTCCAGACCATAGTGCACACCAAACAGTGACACGTTTCGGATGCATAGCTTCCTCATGAATTACTCTTGGATTCTCTGTTCCCCAAATGCGACAGTTTTGTCTATTGACGAAGCCATCGAGATGAAAAGGGGACAAATCGCTAAAAATGATTTTGCCAACAAAATCACCATTCAGATACTGTTGGCCAAGGATCAAATTGCTAAACTCTCTTCGCTGTGCATGGTCTGTTGGCATGAGCTGTTGAGTCAATTGGACTTTGTAGGCATTCAGGTGTAAATCTTTCGCTAGAATACGCTGGAGAGTGGCTGCTTTGATGTCCAAATCTTGCGCGCGACGACGAATCGACGTCCGTGACTCCCGGCTACATTTTCGCGAACTACGCTGTTCTTTTGTGTAATGATTCATTTTCATAAACTCCCGCCTGTCTACTATCGATCTGTCATTTTACTATCATTATGACATTATGAATGCCAAATTGGCGCTAATTCAAATATTGCGTTCTTATTGATACACCCTTTAATACAAGTATGGGTTACGCCCAAATTGAACGTTTCAAAACCTGGCACCAAATCATGATAGTAAATTAACCAAACATAGAATAAAATGATAAACCATGAGTTGTGACGGCACTGTGAGCCGCGCAAAAAATGCGGCGCTTAAAGCATTGGCATTGCACTTTTAAATATATAATTAAAAATAACCACATACATTTCTATGAATGAAATGTGTGTTTACGGTATTACATTCACGTAAATAATCGACAAAAACTACAAAAGAAAAACATGCATATTCCCTATTGTAACCATTCCAAAATTGATTTTTACAAGCTTTTTGTCACTTTTTTAGCAGCTGTAGTTAGGGTTGCTGACTCCTAAAATACAAAACCGGACTTGGCGCTGTATTTGACCGAGCTCTTGACTCTCAAATCTGTCTAAATAGCCAAAGAAAAGCTGTCTAAATCGGTACGCGTAGACCTGGTTAAAATTAAATATCGAGTGGTGGTAGTGTTGCTGGCTGGTCGATCTTCATGCCCATGACCCCTACTGGATCCGCCCTTGGCCGAACACATATCTAAAAATTGCCAGAACTAAAATAATAAAAAAACTATGTTAAATTCTGTATGCGCACGGTCGCTCCCACCGCTTCACATTGCAAGCACTGCGCGGTTATGCCAATACTGTGTAGACCAAAAAGCCTACCAAAAACCAGGCAATCCGGGCGTATTAAATTTTCACCGGACAGTACCGAGAAAAGAAAAACCTGACCGACGGACAAACCAAATTCGTTAAAAAATTCTTCTCATCCGTATCTACATCTACATGACATCAGTAATCTAAATACGTAGATTATCAAGTGAATATATATACAAATCGACAGGTGCGATATTTCGACCAATCCCCGTACTAACCTAAAGAAAAAGCCGCTCATCACACACGCATCCAGAAAAATCCACAGCTGTCTGTATTTTTTTAAGATACCGACCAATAGCAGCGCAGCATCTGGCAGGCTGGTCAACCAAATTTTAATCGTATAATTTATATCGTGGTGCCACGCGACCGTCTCGAAAAAAAGAAGAAAAGGAGAGACAATGATCGCACCTGCCACTGGCACTAAAGTGCTTTAGAAGCAGGAAACACGTGCTGCCACCACCACCGACAGATGGCATTCATTTTATTTTTATGTTGTTTAAATTATCCACTGATGACCATCATGTGTGTTTAATGCTCCGCTGCAGTGCGGGCGAATTTGTTGTTTGAGATGGGAGTAAAGGTATCTATCTTTAAATGCCAGTTGCTCAATGCGACCTTAAGCCCAGTTCAGATTTCGAACCTGGCTAAGCGGCAAGTGGGCGTTGCACAAACGTAGTTTAGGTTTTAGCCCCGTTGAAATGTTGCCTTAAACTTGGTCTTGCCGAACGCACAATTTTGGCAGGAACATGTCAAAAGAGCCTATTTATGTATCCATGCTGGATGATGTTCGGAGTAGTGCTGTACAACTGATCCTTGACTCTTCTCTATCGGACAATCTCGGAACCCTTTCGCACCGACAGGCCATCGGCGACCTGGCTCTCTTCTACCGCTACGTCAACGGGCTTTGCTCCTCAAAGCGCTTCTCCATGATGCCGCCGAGCGATGTGCCTGCCAGACCCGCCTGACTTCGCTCTCTCATCGTAACTGTGCCGAACTTTGTACATCTAGTACTGACCGGTACGATCAGTGCTCCTTTGTCCCTAACGTATCGAGATTGTGGAACACTTCAAAAGTTGGATTATTAACAAGGTATCTTTCAGTTCCTTATAGTAGCTGATTTGCTCCGGTACCTAGGTTAACCTCTTATTTTAACCCTATGCAAGACAGTTGTAACTTCCAAAAAAAAAACTGTTTTTTTAGATGTAAGCTTTGATTGCAATTTAAGATGGACAGAGCAAATTGATTCCGTATGTAAGAAGCTTGGAAAAAGTCTGAATCTAATACTTACGCTAGGGAGGATGTTAAACACCTCAGCATGTCTACCATGCGTGTGTACACTCTGTCATTTCATATGGCATTACAGCGTGGGGCCAGGCTAGTGAAATCTCTAGTGTTTGTCTTGCAAAAAATAATCATTCGCATTATATTTAAAATACGGTCCAGATCTTCTTGTCCTGAGATATTTGTTAAACACAAAATACTTACAGTGGCATGTACATATATTTATAAACTTTTAACATATATTTTTCAGCACAGAAATGATTATCTTAAGCATACTGACCTCCATGACTACAGCACTTGTAATAAAAATAATATAGTTAGGTATGTATCATATCATACGTTTCATTCAAAGTCTCTCATAACAGCAGAAATATACTTTCTTAATTTATTACCTCCGGAGATCAAAAACGTAAACTCCATAGGGCTTTTCAAAAGACGTTTGCGGGACAAGCTATCGGACTGCGGTTTTTATGACCTGGGTGAATTTGTCACATTCCACAGAGCTTCTGATAGATCTTAATAAATAATTTATTGCCATGTCTGTATATATTGTTTTTATGTTCCTATTGTTATTTGTATTGTACTTCATTTTGTCTATATTTTAATCGATATACACCGACTTATCCAATGTCTACAATGTAGATCTAACTGGAACAATAAACGAATCTGAATCTATGGGCCCACAACCCACTTGCCGACGAATGCGGGTTGGGGAGGTTTAGGCTAATATCGGGTAAGCTGCTGTTGTGCCATTTCTTCATAAGTGGCGTTCCTATTGTCCATCAAGCGATAATTGCCTGCACGGGCAGTTATAAGCAAATAGGAGCAGTGACCGAATGCTTGTGTTTATTTTGACGCATAGTAAATAAAGTTTGAATAGACTTAGTGAGAATTTTGCAATAGCATCTGTCAGATTGCGATTTTTTAACGGAAAAAACTCGGATCGATTCGTTACCAGACAGTATAAAGCCTGTGCCCCCCATCTCTAGTACACCTGCAATTCGGTGTGGTTTCCGGAGGGGTAGTTTCTCCAAATTATGTTTATCCTGCCCATTGATTATAGGACAACAAACGGTAATGTTACGTCAACAAAAATAATATACCATGAATATTGAATACTGAATAGGACGTATGGATATCACCAACTAAACATTTCTGTCGAATAGTTTGTGAAAAAATGAACAGTGGATTGTTACTAAAATTGAAGCTGGAATTGTTTGATATCCTTTACAAATCGGTATCATACCGCCGACTAAATCTGTTCAGCTATCACTGGAGTTGTGTGATGACTAAAGTTCCAAAAGACATTGTCAGACTGACTGACTCATAGACCATGGAGGTGAATAAGACGAACTGAAACATCGAAAATTCTCGATTTCTGTTCCACCTAACAGTTGAGCAGCATTGGATACAGTATGTAGTGTGTTACACAACTGATGATCATAACATAAATGGTTACACTAACGCAGTCAGAGGTTTAGCATCACTTCCTCCATGTGTGGTATACTAGTGGTAACATACTGTACGATCACAGACAGTAAGTAGGTCAAGGAACAGGTAGATTTTGTATAAGGAAATCGTACAATTTTGGCAACAGTATTTTTTTGGTGGTATCGTTAGATTTTTAATTCCTAATGAAATTCCTTATCATTTTGCTTCTGTGAGATATTGGCATATAGATAGTCAGCAGATTATGAGAAGGCAAACGTAATGCTATTTCCAGTTATAATGGCAAAACTAAGAATCTGAGAGTAGAAACGCTATTTTTTAAAATACTTTAAACTTGCTACATAAAAAGACCTGTACATTTTTTTCGTAACTCTGATGGTTCTTGTAGTATAAGGAGGAACGTTGAAGGTTCGTATCAAAGCGTACTTTATTTCACGTGGAGATAACTTCATAATTTCCACCTATGGTCAAGAATACCATTTTAAAATGAACCCATTCTTTACTGCTACATGAAAATATAAATGTAATAATTCTTGACACTTTGTGTGTTCAATATGAAAATCGAGTCACTCAGTTCATCACCGTGTCTATTGGCGATTTTGTCACTGAGTTATTTCAGTAAACATCACAGCGATTTTAATGGAAGAGAAGACGTCGATAATGCTGGTTCATGGCGTTACTTCCATTCCAGTAAAATCGTTGCAACCGTTGCTGAGGCTACGGAGTGGTAAAATGGCTAATAGGCAGACTGGCGAATTTGAGCGACTTGCATTTTCATGTTGAAGGCACCATAAATTATCCGAACATATTACATTCTTCATACTTACCCGTGGCAGTAAAAAATGAACTAACTTCAAAATGGTATTCTCGATGATAGATAATGACTTATGGAGTCGTTCTCACGTGAATACATGTACCTGTATGCCGACAAGTGGACATTGTACATTGAGTTTGGAGTAATTTTTAACTTTCGCCTCTTACACTTGAAGAACCATCAAAGTATTCAAAACACGTAAGACCTTTTTTGTAGAAAACTGTATTCTCTTCACAAAAGGATAGGAGTTTTTATACGCTAAGTTTAGCAATTACGAGCGAAAACATCATTAGGGGCCAATTTCACCAACATTAATATTTGACGGTCAGTTGGACCAATAGAAAAAGACCTTATCGAAATGCAATTTGAAGGAAGCTGTCAAAGCTCTCTGAATATCAGTGATTACTATTGAAATGTTGAATAAAGTCGTGAAAAAACGGTTGCCTTATAAATAAGGGTACATTATAGATGTAATATTATGTCTTTGTGCTCTAGAATTAGGTTGACTTTCATAGAATTTAAAATTTTTATCATTTCACAAAAGACGGTCAGTTCTTTAAATGGACCAACGAAAATGAGAGAAATAATAGATCGATTTTCTAGCTATTATATTTGGTAGTATGTTTTCACTGTTTTTGACGACTGTTCACCGATTTTTGTTATTTTGCAAAAAAAGGAAATAAAATGTATCCCAACTGGTTCATCATCTTTTGTTACACCAAAAATAATTTTTGTCAATTTATGATCTAGAAATCCACACCGAATGTAAACAAACAGCACATTCTCCATTTCTGGGTCCTAAAACATCGATATTTGTAAAAGTATCCGCATCCACCTATTATTCATCGTCTAGATATTATAAAATATGGAAATATATTAACATTGTTATATTTTCTTGTTATTTCTATTATAACACGTCTGGGATATCAATTGCTTTTAAAGTGATCTGCACATCTGCAGTGTTGGCGAACCGGCAAACAAACGGAATCGGTAAATAGTGTCGAATTCGGTATAAGGAAAATGCCGTCCCAAGATCAGTGGTAAATCAAGGACCTTTGAGTCATGAAAAACGTCTGTTATTGTATTGGGCGCCCACACAACATGTTTTTTGAGGACAACGGTGCTATAATGGTACTGATGAACGGCAAGTATATGAATGAATGTTTGGAAACGAGCAATATCTATGAAATTTTTGGTAGAGCCTGTCATCAAGTAGGTGCTTAATAGCTGTCTGCAAAAGGTTTTTCTAAAAAAACACACGGTAGGTGATGTTGAATCAGTAAAATCGCATATCAATTGAAGAAAATAATATAAACATGAATTTTATCAAAAATCGAACACTTTTTTTTAAATTTTGACTAAATCATATGTAATTTCTTAATATTCAATAAGCTGCTGATGTTTCAATGACAAGCTGTCATGTCATACTTTGACAGCATTTTGTTTTCAACATTTCATAGCTATTGGTTGCTAAAATTTGTTGATTGGAACTTGAAGCTCATTCGCTGTATTTGACGGACTGTTACCCTATAGATGGAGAATAACAGACTGTTGATTTGACAATCCTGGTGAAGTCCACTCTTAATGTACACCCTCAAATTTTTCATAACTTGTTGACTACATGTTAAATTTTTAAATAAGCAAAACCGAATTCCATATAAAATTGTTTCTACTAGTTTTTAAAATAAGATCGATGTTTTCTGAAATTTTCGATCAGCGGATCTTATTAAAATGCGGCCAGTCTGAACTTGTCATCAGAAAGTAATAATCTAATGATACCACAAAAAAATTACTGTCGCCAAAATTGTAGATTTTAAATTACCTATTTAGCGACCTATAGAAGACCATAGGCAGGAGTGTTGCTCAAAGCTTTCCTTCCTTTGTGCTTCTCCAAAATAAAAAATACTGAAGAAATGTAAACTAACAACGACAGCTAAATTCTATCATTTCGTTCCTTTGTTATGAATCCCTAAGGCGGTCGATATACTCAAACAACTAAATTGAAATTGAAATAGATATCCGGTGTTTTCTTTCATTTTGTTATGTAAAACGCTGTTTGAGTAAAAAAGTGGAGTCGGAAACGTTGCTTATATATAGCATGTTGTGTATCACCAACGATACCATTCAGAAAAGAATATAGTACTCAGGTCCAATTGAATAAGGTTTTGTTTTGGAATAAAATATGATAAGCATACATTTGTATTTTCACGCTTTATAATTCAAATTATTCAACGTCGAGTGTTGGTTTGGAGAATAGAGAATTATTTTTGAAACAAGAATCGTTAGGCCTTCCTCTACAATATTTTTGACAGCGATAGCAAATATAGATAGTTGGAAAAACAAGAGTTTTTACGACCACCTAGGTGTAGCACGATAATTTCACAGTACTGATTACTGACAGGTTGCCTTCTGACAGGTTGCCTTTTTTAAGATATTGAAGTATAAAGTTAATATGTATCTAAATCGGACAAGCACCACAGAACGACAAGTGACCACAAAACCAGCAGAACTACAATAAAAAGCTACCTTGCTTCGTTGCATATATGAGAAAAACCGTTACAAGTAAATTGATTTAAAACACTTCCAGTAATAGGCATTCATATATATATATATATATATATATATATTCAGACGTGGTCATTGTCGTCTAGACCAGTTAGGTGAAAAATTAAAGCTTCCGCCTTTTGTTGGGTACTTCGACAAAATTTAAGCAAAGAGGACTCTTTATACTTTTTTAATTCTCTCTAGCTTTCAATGGACTTTGCCATCATCATCAGGAGCTGCAATTATAATGATAACAGTAGCAACAAAAGTGTAAAGTGAATTTAAATTGACTCAACTTACAGCAGTATGTGAGGATGCTGCTAATTGTAGTTTACGTATAGGATGAGGTAAACGTCCAGTAACATGGTGAGAGCTGGATAGA